CTCATGATGTCCTCTGCATATAAGTTAAATAAGCACAGTGATAATATACAACCTTGATGTACTCCTTTTCCTATTTGGAACCAGTCCGTTCTTCCATGTCTGGTTCTAACTGTTCCTCCTTGACCTGCATACAGATTTCTCAAGAGGCAGGTAAGGTGGTCTGGTATTCCCATCTCTTTAAGAATTTTTTACAGTTTGTTGTGATCCACACAGTCAAAGGCTTTGGTGTAGACAATAAAGCAGAAGTAGATATTTTCCTGGAACTCTTGTCTTTTTTCAATGGTCCAGTGGCTCTTGGCAATTTGATCACTGCCTCATTTGCCTTTTCTAAATCCAGTTTGAACATCTGGAAGTTCTCGGTCCATGTACTGTTGAAGGCTCGCTTGGAGAATAATGAGTATTACTTTGCTAGCCTGTGAAATGAGTTCAATTGTGCATTAATTTGAACATTCTTTGGCATTTCCCTTCTTTGGGATTGGAATGAAAACTGACCTTTTCCAGTCCTGTGGCCACTGCTGAGTTTTCCAAATTTGCTGACATATTGAGTGCAGCACTTTCACAGCATCATCTTTTAGGATTTGAAAGAGCTCAACTAGAATTCCATCACCTCCACTAGCTTTGTTCATAGTGATGCTTCCTAAAGCCTATTTCACTTCACATTCCAAGATGTCTGGCTCTAGGTGAGTGATCACACCATTGTGACTATCTGGGTCATGAAGATCTTTTTTGTACAGTTCTTCTGTGTATTCTTGCCACCTCTTCTTAATATCTTCTGCTTCTGTTAGGTCCATACCATTTCTGTCCTTTATTGTGCCCATCTTTGCATGAAATATTCCCTTGGCATCTCTAATTTTCTTGAAGATATCTCTAGTCTTTCCCATTCTATTGTTTTCCTCTATTTCTTTGCACTGATCACTGAGGAAGTCTCTCTTATCTCTCCTTGCTATTCTTTGGAACTCTGCATTCAAATGGCTATCTTTCTTTTTCTCCTTTGCTTTTGCTTCTCTTCTTTTCTCAGCTATCTGTAAGGCCTCCTCAGACAGCCATTTTGCCTTTTTGCGTTTCTTTTCCTTGGGGATGGTTTTGATCACCACCTCTTGTACAATGTCACGAACCATAGTTCTTCAGGCACTCTGTCTATCAGATATGATTCCTTGAATCTATTTGTCACTTCCACTGTATAATCATAAGGTATTTGATTTAGGTCATACCTGAATGGCCTAGTGCTTTCCCCTACTTTCTTCAATTTAAGTCTGAATTTTGCAATAAGGAGTTCATGACCTGAGCCACAGTCAGCTCCTGGTCTTTTTTTTTTTTTTTTGCTGACTGTATAGAGCTTCTCCATCTTTGGCTTCAAATAATATAATCAATCAGTATTGACTATCTGGTGATGTCCATGTGTAGAGTCGTCTCATATGTTGTTGGGAAAGGGTGTTTGCCATGATCAGTGCATTCTCTTGGCAAAATTCTGTTAGACTTTGCCCTGCTTCATTCTGTACTCCAAGCCCAAGCTTGCCTATTACTCCAGGTATCTCTTGACTTCCTACTTTTGCATTCCAGTCCCCTATGCTGAAAAGGACATATCTTTTTTTGGTGTTAGTTCTAGAAAGTCTTGTAGGTCTTCATAGAACCGTTCAACTTTAGCTTCTTCAGCATTAGTGGTTGGGGCATAGACTTGGATTACTGTGATATTGAATGGTTTGCCTTGGAAATGAACAGAGATCATTCTGTCATTTTTGAGATTTGCACCCAAGTACTGCATTTCAGACTCTTTTGTTGACTATGATGGCTACTCCAGTTCTTCTAAGAGATTCTTGGCCACAGTAGTAGATATAATGTTCTTCTGAATTAAATTCACTCATTCCAGTCCATTTTAGTTCACTGATTCCTAAATTGTTGATGTTCACTCTTGCTGTCTCCTGTTTGACCACTTCCAATTTACCTTGATTCATGGACCTAACATTCCAGGTTCCTATGCAGTATTGTTCTTATAGCATCCGGCTTTACTTTCAGCTCCAATCACATCCACTACTGGGCATGTGTTTCTGCTTTGCCTCAGCCTCTTCATTCCTTCTGGAGCTATTTTTGTTTTTCTTCAGTAGCATATTGGGCACCTGATGACCAAACAACACTATAGGGATAGAAAATTGATCAGTGGTAGGCTGGTTGAGGAAGGCAGAGTTATTGGTGGGCATTGCTTATGAAGTGGCATGAGGAAATTTGGTGGGGGGGTAGGGAAACTTTCTATGTCTTTATTATATTGGTAATACATGATTATTTGCATGTATTAAACAGCAAGCAGTTATACACTTTTACTGTTTAACTGTATGTAATACAGTTAAAACTTAACATTCAGAAAACTAAGATCATGGCATCCGGCCCCATCATTTCATGGCAAATAGATGGGGAAACAATGGAAACAGTGAGAGAATTTATTTTGGGGGGGGGGGGTCCAAAATCACTGCACATGGTGACTGCAGCCATGAATTTAAAAGACGCTTGCTCCTTGGAAGAAAAGATATGACCAACCTAGACAACATATTAGAAAGCAGAGACATTACTTTGCCAACAAAGGTCCATCTAGTCAAAGCTATGGTTTTTCCAGTGGTCATGTATGGATGTGAGAGTTGGACTATCAAGAAGGCTGAGTGCAGAAAAATTGATGCTTTTGAATTGTGGTGTTGGAGAAGATTCTTGAGAGTCCCTTGGACTACAAGGAGAGGCAACCAGTCCATCCTAAAGGAAATCAGTCCTGAATATTCATTGGAAAGACTGATGCTGAAGCTGAAACTCTAATATTTTGGCCACCTGCTGCGAAGAACTGACTCATTGGAAAAGACCCTGATTCTGGGAGGGATTGGGGGCAGGAGGAGAAGGGGACGACAGAGGATGAGATGGTTGGATGGCATCACCAATTCGATGGACATGAGTTAGTTTGAGTAAGCTCTGGGAATTGGTGATGGACAGGGAAGCTTGGCGTGCTGCAGTCCAAGGAGTCACAAAGAGTTGGACACGACTGAGCGACCGAACTGAACTGAAACCTAACTTAAAGAAAATCATTAGCACAAGTATTAGCAGTGTAGCACAACAGAGAAAAGATCAGTGAACCTGAAGTCAATACAATACAAATGTACCATGATTTCAAAAGAAATATTACACGAGAGAGAGAGAGAAACTTGTACACCTGTGGAACCAGTAAACGTACATGTAATTGGAGTGTCATAGGAAAAGGACAGTATAGACAATTATTTGTCTGTCTGTTTTATATTGGGGTATAGTTGCTTTACAGTGTTGTGTTAGTTTCTACTACATGGCAATGTGAATCAGATATATGTGTGTGTGTATACACATATATGTCCACTATTATTTAGATATTCTTCCCATTTATATCACCCAGAGCATTGAGAGTTCCCTTTGCTATACAGGAGTTTCTCATTAGTTATCTAGTATATACTTAGTAGAGTATACATGTCAATCCCAATCTCCCAGTTCGTCCCACCCCTGTTTTCCCTCTGGTACCCATGAGTTTGTTCTCTATTGATTTTTTTTATTCGCTATTTATTTTATTCTCTATTATTTGAATTTGATCCACAACATTCACCCCAGAGATCCACGCCAGGGAATTCATTGACCCTAGCAGGATAAATAACTTTTGAAAATTTACCAAAGAATCCTCATTAGACTAAAAACTAAAGGAAAAAGCTGCCCGTAAGAGGGGAAAAGAGCATATTACATTCTTTCTTCCTCACCTCAAAGAAAGAGTAATAGCTGACTTCTCTCAAGAAACTGTGAAGAACAGAAGACAATAACTTCTGCTAATGTGCTGAAAGAAAGATAAAACACTTATCCTAGAATTCCCTCTCAAGGAGAAATCTTTCAAAACTGAAGCTAAAATAAATGAAAACAGTTTCAGATAAAGAAGCGCTAAGAGAATTTGTCGTTAGACAACCTGAACTAAAAGAATTGATAAGTTCTCCTGGCTGAACAAAAATTATACCTAATGAAAATTCAGATCCACAGGAAAGGAGAAAACATATTTCTGGTTTAAAAGGCTATATTTCTGTGCTCGCTTCAGCAGCACATATACTGAAAGGCTATATTTCTGGCCCTCACCTGTTGTTTGGATTAATCTCATAAAATGTTCTCTTGAACTCACTGCCCTGCCCAGTGTTTTTTCGGATTGGTTTTGTTTCCAAATTCTGCAAAACCCATTAGTAGATCTGAAGTCAATCTAGAGGGCCCTGACCTTTAATTTACTTCTGGAGAAGTAGAGTAGAATGGAACCTACCACAGTACACTGTTGTGAATGCTAAATATTAACTTCTAGCATTATCTCAGGCGTATGTGCTTGCATACTGATTTAACACTTAAAATGTGTTTTAAAACTTAAAACGTGTTGATCTCTGGGTTTACAATCCAAAATGTTTGGAAAACACTGCCCTAACTCCACTGACCTTTGTATTTCTTGAACATCCCAGTTCCTGTATATTGTTGCCACTTGAGAACTTTCTATTTCCTTTTTTCCCCCAATGTCTAACTTCTTTTCAACTTTTAAATTTGTACTCAAGTATTATTACCTTCTCAAAAAACTCTTTACTACCTTTCTAAAAGAACATGGTGCTGTAATTAGTGTCAGCATGACCTGAAAAAAAATCCTAGCATTAAAGAGCATCAAAAGTCAGTTTTGAACTTACCCTATGTTTGTATCTGGTAGTCAGACCTTTTCCAATACATGTCAATACTGGAAAACAAGGTAAGAAAGACAAGAACTATTATGATAGACTATTTTGGTAGAAAAACATTATTAGATTTCCCTACATCTGTTTCCCTGGAATTCAAAGGCACAGAGTCTTGTGTTGTTTTATTTACTTATTTTCAATTAACATCTTGCCTTTCATTCCTCATTTCTTCCTTTCTACTGGAAGTTATTATTTGCACTAGATATTTGGTCTTATATGAAAGCAGGCTTTCAGTAATTATGGAATTTCTCCACTTTTCAGTGGTCAAATGTGACTATCCAATCGTCGAATATGCGGCAATAGCATCAGGAGTTAGAAGAAAATATTACTACAATGCCCAAGTTGTATTTCAGTGTCATGATGGTTTTTACCTTCATGGGAGCAGCACAGTTGTCTGCGGTGCAAACGGTACCTGGGAGCCCGAGCTACCAAAGTGTACTAAAGGTATGAAGGCGTCTGTTTCCTTTTTCTTTTTTAAAAAATTTTATTTTTTCCACAATAGATTTCAATGATATAGAGCAATTGGAAAGGAACAGTTTTAGTACTTATGTCTGTCTTGTATTCATTTCCATGTTACATGTTTGACTTCTAATTCACAAAGAAACTTGTTTTAATTTTCCTTTTATAGACTCTTAGCATGTTGCATACATCACACAGATGCATAAATTTCTCTTGTTCAACATCTTTACATGTAAAATGGATAGCAAAGATTTTTTAGTGTAAATTAAAGTGTTAGTAACTCAGTTGTGTCCAACTTTTTGCAACCCCATGATAGACTGTAGCCCACCAGGCTCCTCCGTCCATGGAATACTCCAAGTAAGAATACAAGAGTGGGTTGCCATTCTCTTCTGCAGTGGATCTTTCTGATCCAAGGAGTGAACCCGGGTTTGCATTACAAGCAGATTTTTTTACCATCTGAGCCACCAGGGAAGCCCGGATTAAAACATGTGCATTTTTATCTAAATAAGCATGAAAAGGACAATTCATATAAGTGAATATTAGTAGAAAGCAATAAATCCCAAGTAATTAAATGAGTTTACATATATTTTTTGTTTGTTTGTTTTCCAGAAGCAATTGCTACCACTACGGTGTCTACAACTTCCAGTGCCTCAGGTTTCACAAAGTCCTGCTTATATTTGTCAATATCCTTTAAATTCCTTGTGATTTTTTAAAATCCTTTAAAAGTCTGGTGATTTACACTCACTAGAACTTTTAGTAATAAAAGGAGGAAGAATGTATTTATAGCCATTTTTGCTATTATACTTAGTGAATCTAAAATTATAGGTCATAGTCCACAGATATAAACAGGTGTGTAAACTTAGGTTATTTATGTAAACTTGTTTACGTACATGTACCATGATTGAATGCCTTCCTCGCTGTGTGATATTAAAGTTAACAGTGGGATGAATTTAAAGCACTTAGCACAGTGTCTGGTGTCTAGAAAGCTCTTAAAGGTAGCTCACCTAATTTACACTTTCATTGGAGTCAATATTAATGTAGAAATCAATATCAATTAAGGTCCACAGCTTCTGTTTTTTAATATGTATGTTTTCTGTGTCATCAACATTGATAATTTATTCATTTTAAAAGTGATCTGTTGACACCTGTACAGGGTATCATCCGGGTTCAGGAATGTGTTTCATTTTCCTGCCAACGACCAGTTTGGTTCTTTTTATAGAGTACAATTTTAACTGGGAAATTTCTACTGTCTCTAGAACAAGATTTGTGTTTCTACTCCCCATCCCAACCTAACCACCTCATACAATTATTTTTTTCTCTTTACTGGCTTTTATTTTTTTGGCAACAGAAAGGGAATTGTATAACAATGGAAGGGCAGCCAAAGTCCTTATTTGTGGAAATGAGATGGAGGATCTCTGGCAGGGTCTCCTGAGCAGCCGCTCTGCCTAAGACTTGAGAGACTATTTTGATATGGTGAAAGGAATTGTCTTCCCGAGTCCAGGCTGTTATCTTTGGCTTCTTCTTTTTGGATAGAACAGTGGCAAGAGCATGAGCCTGAGCAGACCGCTCTGCTTACTCAAGTAACAGCATTTCTGTGGTTTCTAGTTTCTCACTGTTGAGTGACTCAAACAAATGTCCATCACTGGCTTCCAAGTTGTTTACTTCCTATTGTCATATAATTTTAAGGATTGAGGGGAATTGTTCATATTAGCATGGTAATTAGAGCACCTTTTTATAGTTCCTGTAAACCAGCTACTCTGTAACCTCCTCCAGTACCTTGGGTGTTGCCGTGAAGTTCTCTGGAGAAAGCAGTGTCCATGGATGATACATAAAGATTGCACAAGAAGTCTACACTCATTGGCTTACCCGTGTTTGCTCATTTGGTCCTGGGGGGAATATGCACTGTAGTATGTTACGCTTATTGATACGCTCTTTTGAGAGTTGACCATAAGCATCTCATAAAGAATTTCTAAAACATGTATTCACTTTAGCATTGGAAATAACAGAATTGTGAGGACAAGTTTATAGAGGTGATAAACTATAGGGATTTTGTTTTAAATATCATAAATCAAAGTTCCTTGTGAGGTTTTCAGTCATTTTTTATCAGTAAGAGAATATGAAGAGCATCATTAGTGACATATAATGTTGATAAGGTAGATCTAATTATGTGAATGTGAAAAAATTGGGACAAATATGAAGTGACAACTAAGAATATAAATTATGTAATATGATACTATGCGGATGGTATTCTTTTAAGATTTGTAAACTTATTCTGAACACATAATTTCTATGATTTATTATTTGTTAATTTCCAGGGTTTCTGCTATGTAATATAGAGCCATAGTACACATTCTTATGCATACATTCGAATGTACTTGCATAAATATATATTTAGGTTAACTTCCCAGAAATAGAATAGCATAGTTTGGAAAGTATGCATATCTTCATTCTGAAAAGTAATTCATTTTGTCATTCTCATCCATTGTTGTTCTATAAATAGTGGTGATGTTCATGTGCCCAAGGAAGGATGCAAACTCAGAGTCTTTCTACTCCACTGACCCAGCAACTTCCCTAGGCCTTAAGTTTAGTTCCTGATCTTTTAAATTAATTTTTGTGTATGGTGTAAGGTAGGTGTCAAAATTCATTCTTTTGCACATGGATATCCAATTTTCCAAGAATCATTTGTTGAAAAGATTGTCCATTCCCCATTAAATGTCCTTAGAATCCTTGTGAACAATCATTTGACCATATAAGTGAAAGTTTATTTCTGGTCTCTCTGCTCTTTTATTTTTTTTTTAATAGAAATATAGTTGTTTTACAATATTATATTATTTCCAAAGATAGAGATTCAATATTTTTAAAGTTTAACTCCAGGTAAAGCTATTACAAAATAATAACTATATTTCCTTGTGGTGTACAGTATATCCTTATTGTAGCTTTTTAGTAAGTTTTGGAATTGGGAAATGTGAGTCCTCTCATCTTTCCATTTCCTAAGATTACTCCCTTCAGATCCCATATTAGGTTTAATTTGTCTATTTCGCAGAACACATTTTCAATATAGTCAAAGGACTGCATTTAATCTGTGGATTGCTTTGTGTGGTATTGACATCTTAACAATATTATCTTTCAGTCCATGAATGCAGGATGTCCTTTCATTTTCTTATGTCTTCTTCAGTTTCTTTATGCAGTGCTTTGTGGTTTTCAGGGAACAAGTCTTTTACTTCCTTAGTTAATGTTTATTCCTAAGTACTTTATCCTCTTTGCTGCTACTGTGTGTGGTGTTGGCTTTTTAAATTTTCTCTTTAGACTGTTCATTGGTAGTGTATAGAAAGGCAGCTGATCTTTGTTGATTTTGTAATCTCTGACTTTGTTAAATTAATTTATTAATTCTATTTAATAGGTTTCTGTATGTGTGTGTGTGTGTGTGTGTGTGTATGTTGGTGTGTGAGCATGCATAATCTTTAGAGTTTTCCAATTAAAAGATTATATAATCTGAAACAGAGAGAGTTTTATTTCTTCTTTCTCAGTTTGGATGATTTTTATTTTTTTCTCTTTATCACCGCTCTCGCTAGGCAAGAAAAATAAGTTAAAATATTTTGTTGTATTGATTGAAGTGACAAATATGAACATCCAGTATTGCTCCTGACTTAAGGAAAATAAATTCAGTCTTTCACTATTGAGTATCATGTTATCTATGTTTTTTTTAAATAAGTGGCCTTTATTATGTTGAATTTTATTATGTTGATTCTATTACAGATCAGCTCTTAAATGGTTTTAGGCCATTGTAGGTCTTTTGTTTATCAATCTTTTTTTTTATGTTTTAATTGGAGGGAAAATTGCTTTATAATGTTGTGTTGGTTTCTGGCATAGTGAGGTCGCTCAGTCGTGTCCAACTCTTTGAGACCCCATGGACTCTAGCCTACCAGGCTCCTCCATCCATGGTATTTTCCAGGCAAGAATACTGGAGTGGGTTTCCATTTCCTTCTCCAGGGGATCTTCCAGACCCAGGGATCGAAGCCAGGCTTCCTGCTTTGCAGACAGACGCTTTACCGTCTGAGCCACCAGGGAAGGTTTCTGCCAATAACAACATATATCAGCCATAACTGCACATGTATTTCCTCCCTCTGGAGCCTCCCTCCCGTCTCCCCATCCCGCCCCTCTGGGTCATCACAGAGCAGCAGGCTGGGCGGCCTGTGCTATCTAGCAGCTTCTCACCAGCTAGCTCAGTTACACTTGGTATTGCTCTTAGGTCTGTGCTATTTTCTCCCTTCCTTCCACTCTGTCATTGCTTTCCCTACTGCGTCCACAAGTCTGTTCTCTATATATGCATCTCCATTCCTTCCCTGAAAATAGGTTCATCAATAACATTTTTATAGATTCCATATATATGCATAATATATGATATTTGCCTTTCTCTTTCTGGCTTTCTTCACTCTGTGTAACAGGTTCTAGGTTCATCCACCGCACTGGAATCTGTTCTTTTTTTACAGCTGAGTAATATTCCATTTTATATATGCAATTTAAAAAAAACTAAACTGTATGTGATTTTTAAAAAAAATATTTAAAAATATGTAATTTAAAACAAACAAAAACTAAAGGAATAATAAAAAACCATATTAGAACAATACAAAAAATAGAGAGAGAGAGACTGGTAGTATGAAGACTGTCCTCCTGAGTCCTCCATTGTCCAATCCACACAGTGAGCACCAGCCAATGTACCTCCGCAGAAAGTCCTCCAGTATTTCTAGGAAGGTCTCTGGACCTGCTGTGGGCTCTGTGGGGTCAGCTCTGACTCAATCCTGGCCTCACTCCAGCTTGTGCTTGCTCCCAAAGTCCACAGTTGCCCCCAGAGTCCACAGTCTCGCTCATTACGGCACTTTGTCAGCTGCACCTGCAGCCGCAGGGGTGCGTTCCCTTCCTCGCGCCCACGCAGCCCCTGGCGCCCTGCTCCGGTTTGGGGCCTGCCTGTCTGTGGGCCTCACTCCGGCGCCTGTTTCCCACCCAGACCAGAGCAGGCCGCAGTAGTGGCTTATTAGGGTCCACTTGCTCAACCGGCCCGGGGAGAGGAAGGGGTGTGGAGGCCACGGCTGGGGTGTTCCGGGAATGCCTGCTGCAGCTGAGGCCCGCGGGAAGTTGCTACAGTCTGAGGCGGGCCGTGCGCTCTCCCGGGAGGATTGGCCACAGGTCTGGGGTCCCGGCAAAGCCAAGCTGCGCAGACTCCCAGGAAGCAGAGCGTCATAACCTGGGCCTGTTCTTGACTTGCTGACAGCTGCAGCCTCTGGGATTGGCCTTTTGTTCCCTGCCTCAGGCGGTCACCCTTGGCTTTTTATGATACTACTTTTAAAGAGATGCATTGAGATAATGCATGTAGGGAAAGTGAAATTATCAGGGGTTTTGTACAAAGGCAAAAAAAAAAATCAAAACCCATAAATGTATAGGTCTTTAAGCTTTATTATTTTCTCCTTCTACCTTTTATTCTTATTTCCACTTTTTTTTCTTTTTCCAGCATATCCCAATCCAAGTGATGATTTACAGCCTGGAGGTTTTCAAGATTTAGGTATTATTTTGGTTATAAATAGCCCTGCATTATGAAACTCTAGAGTTCTACATGGAACTATTGCAATAATATATAACTAGAGAAGAAATAACATATCACTAATCGGTGTTAATTGGCAATCATGTTATTTTAATAGTGCAGATCCCATGACAAATTTAAGTGGTGGTATGTAAAGTGGAAAGTGTTAGTTACTCCGTCCTGTTCCAGTCTTTGCGACCTCATGGACTGCAGTCCACGAGGCTCATCTGTCCATGGGATTCTCCAGGCAAGAATACTGGAGTGGGTTGCCATTTCCTTCTCCAGTGTAGACTTGTAACTAACACAGTTTTCAACAAGTGCCCCTACTTAGGATTCCCAGTGGAGTGAGATAACTTTCTTAAATGCTTTGGTCACGGGCAGGTTAAAATATATAAAATGCAACTTGTTTATCATGTGATAGTGTTCTTTTATGATGGAGATTTGTAGATAAATTTTCTTTCTGTTGGTATGTTGTATATGCAAGCCTTATATACCATATTTTGGGATAGTTTTTCTATAACAGGCAGGGGTAGCACACTTCAGGTTGTCTCCCATAGTTCACACAATATATGTTAAAGAACATGGTGAAGTATAGTGGTGAAGTTGGTTGGAATATACAGATTTCTTGCTAAGAAAATGAAGAAAAGATCTATTACTTTTCTTTATATTAGAGTGAGGTAGTCAAGTTTATCTTTTCATAAAATGCACTTCAGGCTTGTTGTGTTTCCTTCTGAAAACTGTGGTCAAGTTGCATGTGCCAGGTGAACCCAGGGCCATTTTTTTTTTTTTTTTTTTTGGTAAAGCTGCTTGAGATTTTCTTCTTTCAAATGTATCTGTGCATTTTTATTTTTGGTTGCACTGGGTCTTCACTGCTGCGTGTAGACTTTCTTTAGTTGCAGCGAGCGGGCAGTCCTCTGTTGGGGCACACAGGCTTCTCATTGTGGTGGTCTCTTTCGTCGGGGGGCAGTCTCTGGGCACACGGGACCAGCAGTTGTGGCTCGCAGGCTGAGTAGTTGGGGTTTATGGGCTCTAGAGCTCAGTAGGTGTGGCACCCAGGCTTAGTTGCCCTGTGACATGTGGAATCTTCCCAGACCAGGGGTCAAACCTATGTCCCCTGCATTGGCAGGCGGATTCTTAGCCACTCTACCACCAGGGAAGCGCTAGCGTCATTGTAAGATGGTTACAGTTAACTTTTATGAAATAAAAAGAGCAGAGCTACCATGACATTTTATATTCTGAGTTAAATGTAG